CCTCCCGGTAATATTTCATTTGCTTCATCGTGTTTTAAATGTGGTGAATAACATCCTTCCTAATTAGCCTGCATTTCCCTATAAGGTGGAGTAATTAGGTATGATACCAAGTAATGAAATTGGACAGTACAAATTAGAGACAGAAACCACGTCCTTTATGAATATGGGCCATTCATTGCACCAGCTATTTACTTCCTTAATTAACCCTGCAAACCCAAGTTGTTTAAAAAATAAAACAACCTGAAAGCCCGAAACCAGAAGATTCTCTTTTCTTCACTCCAGGCAAGCATACCAGTAGCATGTGCCATTCACAGAGCATTGTGAAGATTAATAACAGTGGAAATACCCAGCTGAAGTTGTGCATGGCACCAATTCCTGTCACCTGGCTTAGATTCTTCTGTGGGGCTCATCTATCCAGTGCTATTTTGCAGGATCGATTCATAACACAGAAATTAAATTGTACTGTTTTCCCTCTGTGAAATAATACTAGAGAGAATGGATCTTTTTCTTTCTTTCTTTCCTTTTAAATAGATATCTTCAGACTTTGCTTTTTTTTCAGTGCTAAGCTGTAGGGCCTCAAAACGTGCTGTGGTGTTTTGTGAAGATAGGGCTGACAGCCATTTGTTCTCCTTATTTTGACCTATGGTGCTAGAATTGTATAAGCAAAACACTGTTTAAAAATGAATGATTTGCATGGTGAGTATCGGGAAAAAAATCTGTTGTAGACATGTTTGGCAATTGTGGATGTCTCCTGCAGTTTCAGAAAATGTGTTGAGGAAAGGTAATTAACCATAAAATTATGCTACAAAATGCAGTCACAGCTTATCGGGTTCTCTATACCGATCTTGTCATTTCCTAGGTCCCCAGGAATAAAGCTGTAGTAACAAAGACCCTGTGCTTCCAGGTGAAATCCATGCAGGTTAGGCAGATTTTGCTGGCAGCACTGTGTGTGGCACTTCTTCCCAGGGCTGGACCAGTTCTGTGCATAACTCCTCCTAGACTAACTAGACTAACGTTAAGCATGGGAAAGGGCTTTTGGTGTCGTGCTGGTGGGAAGTGCATAGCATAGCATCCAGGGTTGTTCAGAAAGCTGTGATCCTGTGGGACAATTCCGACCTATAAATATAGTCTGGTAAAGGACAAAACGTTTGTTTGGGGTGAGAGTCTTCTTTCCTAAGGAGAATACGATACCTGTGCTCTTAGTTATTCATTTTTCACCCAGGGGGTGGTGAGGCACTGGCACAGGTTGCCCAAGGAGGCTGTGGATGCCCCATCCCTGCAGGCATTCAAGGCCAGGCTGGATGTGGCTCTGGGCAGCCTGGGCTGCTGGTTGTTGACCTGCACACAGCAGGGGGTTGGGACTGAATGAGCGCTGTGGGCCTTTGCAACCCAGGCCATTCTGTGATCCTGTGATTCTATGATTGGCCATCTTGGAAAGATGCCATAGGACAGGGAACTGAGTGCTTTGCAAGTAGATAGGTACACATGTAGTGCTGCTGTCAACAGAACAAAACTCTCCTAGGTGCATCCACTGAGTATGAAAAATGTTTTACTTCTCCCTGGAGCCCATTTTATAACTGAAACTGTTACAAATGAGCCTGTGGTATTTTAATTATCGAAGATGTTCTAGTGTATCCAAACAGTACATAATGCTGATGGTAATTATCTCACATTTACGTAATGACTAAAAGCCAAACGTATCCTAAAGACCTTTGTGAACTTTTTAGATGTCGTGTGCAGCATATAGAAAGTCCTTTCCTTGTAAACTGAGATCCGGCAGTCGCCTGCAGTTAGTCAGAGTTTGGGAAACGCAGTGAGAGAGAACAACCCCTCTGCTGAAGGGATGTGGTAAGAGAGCAATAGAGAAATTTCCAGGCTGGATGTGGCTCTGGGCAGCCTGGTCTGGTGGTTGGTGATCCTGCACACAGCACGGGGGTTGAAACTACATGATCGCTGTGGTCCTTTTCAACCCAGGCCATCCTGTGATTCTGTGATTCTATGATTCTATAATTCTATGAAAGTGAGCAGCTTTCTTGGGCAGCTGACAAAGCCTCGTGACACAAATGTTGGATCTTCTGAGCAGCAGCCAGCTGTTCTGTGAGTTTCAGCTCTGCCTCCTTTCTGCCCAGCTTTCTCCCTAACAGCAGAGTATGTATGCATTGCTCCTTCATTTCAGCAATAGTGGACTTTGTTGGGAAGCATGGCTGAAGGCTGAGCTGGCCCCAGACCCTTGGGTTGCCATCAGAGACCTTAACACACACTGGTGTTTGGGCAGGGAGGAGGCAGCTCCCTGTGGTTTCCTCTCCAGGCTGCACTCCCAGCAGGGTATCAAATCCCGATCTTGAATTTCAAAACCTTCCAAAGCTCTATTCCCTTATTTGTTTTCATACCTTACCATGTTGCCAGTGTTGTGCCAGAGAGGCACATCGTTCAGGAGCCTGTGTCTGTGTGTCTGGTATGTTCTTTATGTGTGGATTTCCCACACAGAGAAGCTTCCTTGGAAATGTCCTTCCCTTCCTGAGCTTTCATGGCTGGCTCCTGCTTGTGCGGTCTGGGAGGAAGGGCAGATAGGGATGGGTGTGACCAGATCAGAGATGTTGGCACTTGATAGTGTGTCATCCCAAACTTTTCACAAGATACTTGTGAATCAGAAGCCTTAGGGGCAGGGATGACAGCGCAGCACCCAGCAGTGTGCCCTGAGACTGACCTGCGAGTGCCTGCCCTGTCCGACCATTGCTGTGTCCATCAGTCCATCTCTTCCAAATGTATTCGTAGGAAAAAGAGCAGAGCTGTGCTCTGTGCAAACACTGTGGAACAAGGGCTGCTTGTGAAACACGAGTCTGCTGCACTGGATGCAAATGCAATCTGGTCTCATTGTACACCTCGTGTTTAGATGTACAGATGATGCGTACACTGTTAGAGATGATGCATGCTCCCTGGTAGAGTCACAGGGAAGGTTTTCCAGGCAGTACTAACCTCTTGGATCATTCCTTCTCTTTTATTGCCCAATTTGGGCCAAAACTGTAAACACTTTCAACTTTGATGCCAAGTTATGAATAACATCATTGCGGCAGGGGGATTGGAACTTGGTGATCCTTGGGGTCCCTTCTAGCCCAAGCCATTCTACGATTCCACTTGAAATTTAAAGCCTGTGTTTTCATGCTCCAGAGAGAAAGTCCCCCCTGCCTTTTGCTACCAAGCAGCTAGCAACTAGAATTTTAATTTTATAAGTGATGGTTGACTAAACCCAGCACTACATCAATTAGATATTATTTGATTTAGAATAGCAAAGGAAAAAAAACAAGACTTAAAGATACACTGCTCTCTTATATCTGCTCATATTTTTTCGTAGCTCCGTATATATCTTTATACATTCTATTCAGAAGACAGGCTCTTATTTTTTTCTGCATGGTTTAAACTGATCCTGGCACTTTACAGATGCCAACATTGCCTGTTCTTGATTTAAGTTGCCTGACTTCACTTAAGCAGGTAAATATAACACTGTTGTTATCTGAACCATCAGAAGAAAATCTAGAAGAACACTTCCAGCATTACTTGCTAATTTCAAAAGCCTGTTTAGCATAAGAAAATTTTATAGAGGTTGATCTGGATTTCAAGAAGTGTTTCCATATATTCTTCCTTCCTTTTAAGGAAGGATCTCCTTTTGGAGATCTGTCTTAAAAGAGTCAGATTTTCTGGATGTGGTACACAGCATCTGTTGCAGCACTCAGTTGTGCTAAAAGGTGACCTTGAATCAGTTGTTCTTTTTGGAAAATCTTGTCTGCTGCACTGCAGTTGTTACTGATGGCCAGCTCAGGTATGAAGATGGAAGTGTTGGCAGCAACGTGGTCTTTTTGCACAGATGCCATTTTATACTTGCTATCATAAAATGTGATGAGGAACCCACCAGAGAAGATCTAAGCATTGGTTTTTGCAAGCAAACAAATGTTTTTTGTTTTTTTTTTCCCAATGTTTCCTTCCTCTGTGTAGTGTGGTGTTGCCATCTGGAGTCAAAATCTGATGTTCACTGCTGTTGTTGGAGTTCCACCTCCTGGAGTCCTTAGGAATACTGCATATCTCTGCCTTCAGAACGTAAAAGATGTATTTCTAGCACTGACAGATGAAGGAAAAACAGGAAACCACTGCGAATTTTCAGTAAAGCAAACTGAATCAAGCTCCCATATTGCAAGAGGTTTTTTTTTAACTGCTTATCTAAACATTTTTCGAACTTGTCTCATGGCTTTTTAAGCCATGAGCAGCCACTTACTACTTCTGTTAACAACCTCTGCTGGAAGGAGGGGGAGACAGAGCGAGAAAATTTGACTTAGGGCCCTGGCTTTCATCATGCCAATCAGTTTAAGAAACGTAAAGTGAAATTACAACTAAGTAGTATTGTGAGCTGGGAGAGTGCTTCCTCAGAGTGTTGCAGTGGTAACTCCAATGGTTGTGTGCTGCTATTAGTGTCTCTTTGGAAAACTGACTGTCCAGTTTCTGCAAGCTGAACATGGCTCTGGAGTATGAGTCCTTGCTTCCTGATGTGAGCACATGATAGTCAAACCTTTGCATAGAATGGAGCTCAGCAAGACTGGCAGGTGTCACAGCACAGCTATGACAGTGAACAGGCAAAGCACACCTCCTTGGAGCTGGGCCAAGTGGACTGTGGATCTAACATCAGGTTTTGTACTTATCTTCCCATGTCTTACTGCAGCTTGACCATTACAGGTTCTCAAATATTGCATGGCAGCGCTGAGAACAAACGTGTGACTGCTTTGTCATGCCTTTGAATTATACGTGGAGTCAGTGATGGTAGATGATTGCTTTGGGAGTCAGCTATAATGGAGGAATGATGAACGCATCTTCTAGCAGTGTGCGTCTTGCTCCTGTACTCTATGATTCTTCATTGTGTAAGCAATGAAGTACCCACCTATACGATGGATAAAATAGACACTCATCATTTTAATGCCCATTTATTCTTCGGTCTTGTTTGTCCTCTTTGAAAGGTATTCAGGAACCTCCAGTACCCAATGGCCATTCTCTCCCGGGTAGAGATTTTCTCCGGAAACAGATGCGTGGAGACCTGTTCACCCAGCAGCAGTTAGAAGTGTTGGATCGAGTCTTCGAGAGGCAGCATTATTCTGACATTTTCACGACAACAGAGCCCATCAAACCAGAGCAGGTACTGTTCCAAACATTAAACTTTTTTTTTCTTTTTCTAGATATGCTTTCTCCTGGCAGAGGCCTCCTTAGTGGAAAACAACAAAAAATTATTTCTGAAATGTGCAGTAGAAACAGAATAGTGCATAGTAGAATAGTAGAATAGCAGAAACAGATGTGCACGGAGAAACAGGTGTCGTATCAAGCTCTTCAGCCAAGAGCATGTTGACCACAGAAGACTATTAAAAATGACACAAAACACCAGCTGTGTGAAGGTTAGCATGTGTTCAGATATGAAATTACGCCTGATCTGGGCCAGTCACATCAAGTGAGGGCATGAGGAGCATCACGTCTTCTGATACTCCTGTTGGACATAAAGTAAGCTGCAGAAAATAAGGAATAGATTTGTAAAACTCTATGCCTAATTTTGGCCCATAGTTAGCTTGATTGAGCACACAAATTAGTTTTTTATATCTGGAAATGGCTTATTAGTCATTTAATTGGCCATTTGCAGAGAGAAACACCCAATTAATATGTGAAGGAAAATTTGTTGCACCTGCAGACTAGCTGTGTATTTTAAAAGATTCGGCACGATGTTTTGGAGGAAAAGTTCTGTTTTAGCAGACGCTATGCAGAAGTAAAAGCAAAAAAAAAAAAAAGAAAAATTATTGGCTGTGTTTCTTAACATGCTTTTTGTTTGTAGGCCTCAGACTTAAATTTATGGGACACAGAAACGAAAGTGTGGCTGTCAGGTCCAACACAGGCCTCGCTTGCTGCATTTTCTATAGTTAGCAATGTAATCAGTCATTGCTAATCTCCAGTGTTACTAATATTAAATTTTAGCAAGGTGTTTGAACTCCTTGAACTGCAAACAAACAGTGGTTTCCCTTAGAGGAGCCTAAACATTTGAAAGACACCGGAGAGTATCAGGAAGGTGGCCATCTATTACCGCTGTGACTTCAGTATTGAGGAACGTGCATCGGCATAACTAAAGAAAAACCTCCACGTGTGGAGTGGTAGAGTAGAAGCTCCATGTGCCCTTAAGCCTACGCGTGCTGTCATTTGTTGTCATTCATTTTTTACCAGTTTCTGCTGGCTCTGTGGTTTCCCTGGTTTGTATCTGTGAACTCTGTAAATCTAAATTCAGCCTGGAAAAAGGTGAGGAAGTTGCTGAAATCAATTCAGTTTTTCTTTAAAAAAGCTCCTCAGGAAAGCCAAGCACGTTTTGAAGGTGAAATGGCCTTCACGTACCACTAGATGGTGGTTATCCCATCCTTAACACCGGGGATAATGGAGGGGACAGGCACAGATCCACTTCCTACTACAGTAAGCACTTTCAGTATTGGTCACTTCAGAGATGTTTGATGCTAAATCTGTCCCTGCTTAACTTTCATATACCTTCCTTAGTTTTCTGTATTCCAGATTTTCTGAGTTTTGTAGAACTGTAGCTCATGGGATGCAGTCCAGACATAAACACAAAGAGATGGTTTAATAGAAAGAAGAATTAAAAGAGCATGTTTCTGAAGTCTGCTGGCTTCTGCAGGGATATTCAGCTATTGCTGGAGCAAGGATCTCCCTGGATCTGTATAAGCAGTTGTAACTGGAATGGCTGTGCAACCAGAGCATCAAATCTGGGGATATGTTTCTACTGATCAGGTAAAAAGGGCACTTTCTGCACAGACTGAGAAGACAAACAGATGCTGAGAAACATATTTCTGAGGGAAAGATACTGTAGTATACGAAAGGTCCTTAGCAGAATAGTTTTGCTTAGGCATTTTTAATTACAAATGGAGTTTGCTAGTCATTTGCTTTAACATTCCCATTTGCTTTTGGGAGGTTTGACTGTGATTAAGGGCTCGTGGTTGTTCGAAATGGGATTTGCTTTTTGGTGGCATGCAAAGTATATTTTCAACAGGAACATGCATAATTAATACAAATGTCTGATTCTCAAGGATGTGATATGAACTGCACTGCTTTAGTAAGCAGTCATGTTTAACCTCTTTGGTAGTAAAGCAAAGCTGTCGTGAAACTTAACCAAAATGGAGAGACTGTCTGGACCAATTAGTGAGACAAAAAAAATCAGTTAGAAAGAAAATGTAGAATCCTAGAATCACAGGATGTTTTGGGTTGGAAGGGATCTTAAAGATCATCTAATTCCAATGCACAGACCATAGGCGGGGATACCTCTCACTGGATGAAGATGGAAGCATTACCACGTGACTTGGAAAACCAGAGTTGTCTCTCCCATTGATGACTGTAGTGAACTGTGATCCGCATTCAGAATCTGTCAGTCCAGAATGTGGTTGAACTCAGAAGTCAGTGCATTAGGAACTAGGTCAGCAATGGATGCGTGGAGTCCTTAGCTGCTTCTGAAGAGGAAATTAAGGAAAAGGTGCTCCTCATAAAGAGTGGGGAGTCTAACAGGAGTGCTGATCCACTGCCTATCTACTGTGTTAGAAACATGCAGAAGGAGCAAATGGAACACTGCGGATGTTGTTTAGGCACAAAAACTTCTTGGTCCCTGTGACAGTCAGCTGAAGAGGGCTCCAGGTACTTTACGGGAAGACTCGTGTTTCTTTAGACAAGAAAGTATATTTTCCTCTCTGTTTTGCTGTTCTTCTCTAATTTTTCTTCTCTGTGAGCTGGGCACAGTCCCTGTGTCAGAGCGAGCAGTGATGTGGGAGAACAAAGTCCATTCCACATAGCTGAACATCTGCAGTCTGAACACGTTCTGCCTCCAGCTGAAGGCTGGCACCTATTGCCTGAATTCTTTCTGATTTATTTTCTGGGTGTTTTGGGCTTGTTTATTGGAAACTGTGGATTGTCACTTACATAAGCAGGGCTTTGATGTCCTAAGTCAGAGTGCCTGCTCACCACTGCCCAAGCCTTTACCTTGAGTGCACCCATTCTGTTTCCTTTACTCTGCTGTTTTTAACGTTGCTGTTCTTCAGCTCCCTTCTGTGAAATGCAGACCTGCAGGTTAGCTCTTACTTCCAAACACGTTGTGCACTTGGCAATCTGAGTTTTCATATCTACTGTAAAAGATGACTGAAACAAAGAAGACCACAGGGAATGAATACTTACCTCTGACTACAGGCTATTGCAGTGCTGAGAGGAAAGGCAGTGACAAGAGAATCTATGGCAGACAGTACCTCATTCAGAAACAAAGTCTGTTGTAGGCATAGGGTGAGGCAGGGATCCCACCATATGTTCATATAATTAAAGATTTGTCGGGATATAATTAAAGATTTGTCAGGGGATGGAAGTAGGGCATTATGTGTCTCATCGAGCAACCTAGTGTCCCTGTGATACAGCCGTACATGTACCCGAGTGCACTCTGCAGGACTGCTATGTAATACCCACACGTGCAGTGCATGACATTTAATGGCAGGTGAATGCTGTGCTGTGATGTCAAGAAGTTGTGAGATGGGAAGGTGGGGGTCCCTTGCAAACCGAGTCCACTGGTATCTACGTGTTACTGGGGTGTAATGTGAGAACAGTCACACTCTGGCCTTACTCTATCCTACAAGAAACCTGCTATGAACAGTAACTGATGTTTAAGTGAATGCCTTTCCATCACTTTTGTCCCCTTTTGTGCTCATCTCATCTTCTGCAAACAGCCCACAATTGATTTGCGCTGGCTGCAGATGTTGGCAGAACACTCAGGTGTTGCTGGGAAATGATTCTGAGCTGCATGTAGGTGTGTGTTTGCAGTGCCATCACAGTGGCATTCTGCTCACGAGTGTCAACCAGCAGCACCGTGCAGCCGACACATCAGCCGGTCAATATTTCTATTGACTTCAACAGACTTTAGATCGGGGCCATAATGAAGCATAGCATGATGTGACCAGGTTCAACACTGTGTAGGTCACTGAATTAGTAGAGAACAACTTGCTGATAATAGCAGATAATTCCCTCGTCTTTGCTGATGCTTTCACATTACTTCTAGCTAGAACTGAATTGATCATCTCTTTTTGAATTCGTTTCTGAATGATACAGGGATACTGCAGGTGGGAGCTAACCTGAAAAACATGAAGCAATATATTCACTTGTGAGATGCAGTACTGTTAAGCCTGGAGATAAATACAGGCAGCTGAATTCCACGTATCCAACACCGCCGAAAGAATTACTAGTAAATCAGAAAGAGTAAAAAAGTTGTGCACAGCTAGTTACGTTTGATTGACCTCAGAAAGTGCTGTAATGAAGGAGCTGAGCTGACCAAAGGAGGAGCACGCAGGGAGATGCACAGTGCTTCCTACAACATGGGATTTTAATCTCCAGGAATAGCAGGGAGTGTCCAAGAAAAAGGGAGAAAGTAGGACTTATTTTTCAGGACTTACATTTCATTTCTGATTTGACTCATTTACTCAGAAAGTCATTAGAGAAGCAGAAGGAAGGAATGAGATGTAGGACCTTGCTCCTGGTCTCTGGCATAAAATTAATGTGGTTTTCTCCCTAAGGGAAACTGTGTCTGGGTGGATGGGGCTGCTGAGGATTTTCTGAAATTACTCTGAAAGTTGTAACGAGAAAAGTAGAGCCACTGTTTATTTACTTCTTCCCAAAACTACTTGGTTTTCAGTAACAGTGAAAAATATGGAGCATATCTCTGATCAAAAGAAAATGTGGAGCAAAAAGTGGCTTGGAAGGCAGGTCTGCAGTTTTTACTGCTCCTCTTCTATCAGCTGAAACAACTTCTGAGTCAGGCTATGGCTTCATTGGTGGGAAGAAAAAAAACCACCAGAAACAAAACCAACTCTAAAATCCAGCCTAAGAAAGCATGTCGGGAGAGGAAAAACACCCCATATTTACTCTCAGTAGACTATTAAGCAACACGAGGCTATTAATTTGGCTTTTGAGTCTTCACTGAAGCCCATAAAAGTGCACAGTTGTCAAATGGAGTTCGTTTTAATTTCCTTTCAATCACAGTAAATTATTCAGGTGATAAATCAGCTGGAGTAGCCTCCTGGCTGTAATAGAAACCCTAATTCCTGGCTAATTATCCAGCCCATTGCTGCCAGCAGA